GCCCTGGGGGTGGCCAGCCACGGCCCCTGGGTGTCCAGGTCAGGTCTCTAGGGTCTCCCCACGCGGCATGGGCGGGCGCTCCTCAGCTGTGACGAGGGGCTGCGCATCCGGGGGAGCCTCGAGCGCAGCTGGGGCGGCTTGGGCAGCACCGAGGCCAGGGTACCCTGCTGAGGAGCCAGTCTCTGTCTCACCTTGGGGACGCCGGGCTGTGGGCGGAAGGGAAGGTCCCCACTGACCCCACACTTCCTTCCCTCTTCCAGCAGCCTTTCCTCTCTTGCACAACGCCGGGGTTCGACGCCTGCGTAGTCCCTGGTGGGCCTGGCTTATGCTTGTAGGGTAAGGAGGCAAGACTGCTGAGAAATGGTGCTTGACTTTTATTTTTATGTCGTTGGCAGTACTGGGGGTTGAACCTAGAGCCTTTGCACGGAGCTACATCCCCAGCCCTTCTCTATTTTTTATTTTGAGATAGGGTCTCGTTGTTAAGTTGCTACGTTACCCAATCTGGACTCCCAATTTTAGACTCTCCTGCCTCAGCCTCCCAGAGTGCTAGGGATTACAGGTGTGCAACACCATGCCCACCTTGGTGTTAGACCTGGTACTCAATGACCTCTGTAAGTAGGCTGCCAGCCTTCTGTCGGGATGACACAATTCATTTTAATGTGTAGATGAAAACATGAGTGACCAAATGACTTTTTTTTTTTCTTTATTTTGGTACAGGGGCTTGAACTCAGGACCTTACGCTTGCCAGGCAGGTGGCAGCACCACTGAGCTAAATCCCCAGCCCTGACCAAATGACTTCATATTTTTTTTAAAAAATTTTTTAAGAAAAATGAGGAGCCAGATGTGTGGTGCACACCTGTAAGCTCAGATCTTCAGGAGGCTGAGGCAGGAGGACGCCAAGTTCAAGGCCAGCTGGCCAATTATGGGGACTCTGGGTGAAAATGAATAAATAAAACGGGCTGGGGATGTAGGTCAGTGTGAGGGTCAGGGAGGGCTGACACAGCTCCCCCACCAAAAGAGGACAGACAAAGGAAGGGGTAATGAATAGATAAGATTTTTATTTTTATTTTTTTAAATTGTTTTTGGTACTGGGGATTGAATTTGAGACCTTGCACTTGCAAGGCAGGCAGCAGAACCACTGAGCTAAATCCCAGCCCCTAGATAAGATTTTTAGTGGAAGATAAGAGTTTAAAAAAAGTTTATGTTGTGAAATATACACAGAAACTGTGTGGACTGTGAAGTATTATGAAGTTGTAGCAGCACTGCAACCCCGCTGGCCCTGCCCTGGAACCAGGGTGATTACCAGTGTCCCCCAGGCCCCCACACCCGTCGGCTGCTAACAGGGACTGTCTGTCAGGTCCTGAGGTACGTGCTTAGCACATCTGGGCATGGTGACCATGCCTATAATCCCAGCTCTACAGATGGCTGAGGCAGAAGGCTCTCAAGTTTGATCCTGGGCAGCACAGTGACTTAGAGAGACTCTGTCTCAAAAAAACAGAACAAAACCCCCAAACCACATTTCACAGTGAGGTGCTCTCTAGGGGAGCAGGGACTATGATCCCCCACTTCACAGGCTGGAAAAGCAGGCACGGAGAGGTGGAACCTGGGTAGTCTGCGGCCAGGCCCTAGGACATTATGAGTGGACAGATGGATGGATGGACGCCTCGGCAAGTGGGGCAGCCAGCCAGCTCCAATGTCCCAGAGGCAGACAGGAAGGGCAGGCACAGGGCTCCTGCATCCTGCCAAGGAGCTTGGTGCTGGCCATGTGACCCCTTCCCTGCCCTCCGGCCACTCCGCTTTCCCCAGATGGGCTGGCCTGCGTTTCCTTAGCCAGGAAATCCCCAAGGCTGGCCAGCGGGGACAGTGCGGGAACATGAAGCCCAGGCCTGGCCCTCTGGGGTCTTCTGCTGGAGAGAGAAGCTGGGGCCGCACTGCAGGAGCAGAGCGACAGCCTGCATCGTGGGATGGTCCTGCCCTGCTCTAAGCCCCTCCTGCCACCCCATCCCTGTGACAGATGGCTGCAGGCCTGAGTTCCAGTTCCCACCCAGAGCACCCGCGTGACAGACAGAGGGCCAGGGTCACTCACTGTGACAAGGCTCAAGCAGGTATCTGTGCAGAAATGCGGGCCACACAGGAGGATCGCAAGTTCAAGCCTAGCCTGGATCAAAGCTAAAAAAATACATAAAAGGGCTGGCAATGCAGCTCAGTGGGAAGGCCCTGGGTTCAATCTCATTACAAAAGGAGGGAGGGAGGGAGGGAGGAAGCTCTACCCAAGGGGCCCTGCTCCACTGCCCCCACCCCACCCCAGGACCCCTCTGCTGGCTGTGGGCACCCCCATGAGCCTGGCTTCGTTCCTGGCTGCATGCCCCGGAAGTCTCCACAGCTCCCACACGTTGGTCTCTCAGGAGTTGGGCCAGCTCTGGCAACTGTGACGGCGCGGCATCCACGGGGTCAGAATGTCACCAGGGCTGCAGGGACCACGGGCAAGGCTGGTGGACCACATGGGCAGTGTCACTCTGTGCCCGCTCAGAGGTGTGGATGACACTCACCAGCCACCGCCGGGAGGGGGTGCACAGCTCCCACTATGACGGTGGGGAGGGCAGCAGTGTCCTGAGCACCCAGCCCAACCATCTCAGCCGTGACGTCCCAGAAAGATGTGTTCTAAAACTGCTGCATGTGTGAAACCCGCCCAGATCCTCCTGGGTTATCCTGGTCTCCTCCAGCACGGGAAGCAGATCTTGCTTTTGTTTTTGTTTTTTGGTACCGGGGATTGAACTCGGGTCCTTGAGCTTGCAAGGCAGGAGGTGGAACCACTGAACTAAATCCCAGGCCCTCTTTTTTGTTTTGTTTTGTTTTTTGACAGGGCCCACGCAGTTCAGGCAGGCCTTGAACTCACAATGAGCTCACTGCAATCCTCCTGCCTCAGCCTCCTGAGTGCTGGGCTCACAGGTGTGCACCACCACACACAGGCCCCACCCGATTTTGCACCTGAGTGGGGCAGGAAGTAGCTTTACAAATCACTGGTGTCAGGCTTGCTTTCAGGGCTCAACTTACCTGCTCCTTCCTCAAAAACAGCCCACAAGGAGCCAGGTAGAGGAGAGGCGGGGTGGGGGGGGAGGAAGTGACATGGAAAACGCTGAGTGCCAACGGGTCCTTTTATTTTTTGTGTACAAGGGGCTGAACCCCAGGGCCTTTGCGGTAATCTACATCTCCAGTCCTTGAAAAAATTTTTAAAATTTGAAAAGTCTTGCCAAGTTACCCAGGCTAGGCTCCTCAGACTTGTCATTCTCCTGCCTCAGCCTCCTGCACTGCTGGGATCACAGGCATTGGCCCACACCTAGCTTCCTAATTCTCTCCAGAGGGAAGGCCAGACTCCTAGGGGCTGTGATTTCTTCTCTCAGCTGCCTTTGAACCCGCCCGGCTGGCAGCCAGGGAAGCTCAGGAGCAGAGGGCCCCCACCCACCTGCAGGGGTAGCCCCAAAGCCCAGGCAGGAGTCACTGGTGACAGCCGCCCAGTCTCCTTCCTGTCCTTCTAGGGCAACGGAGGCACACACCAAAAGCCCGGGCTTCCTTCAGGGACTAGGCCGCCCTGACACCCTGCCCATGGGCTGGGGCCTGGCTGTGCACACTGGTAAGGTGGTGGCGGCAGCCTGTGACCGGACACAAGGACACAGCCTCAGGTCCAGGTCCCAGCCCTGCTCGCGAGGCTGCAGCAGTCAGTTCGTCCTCCTGGGCTGTTCGGGCTCTGAGCACCCCAGAGCTCCTCCCTCTGCCAGATGACTGAACCCAAGGTCTTCAGCTGAGCTCAGGCCTTGCATTATTTTCAGGTGGCTTCAACAGGTTGCCAAGCCACACAGGCTGCGGTTAAACTTGAGCTCCCCTGCCTCAGCCTCCTGATTATAGGCAAGCACTGCATGCGTTAGCCAGTTTGGAGAAAGCTCCGTTATGATGTACCGCCTACCAGACGGGGAACTAGTGCGTGGTGAGCAGGCCAGAAGGACGGCCAGGCATCGGCTCCAGGACAGGGCCTTGGTTCCCTCCCTCCCTGACGAGTGGTGGCCCAGCTGTCACAGGGCTTCATTTCTGCCCGCCTGGGGAACCTTCTGGGGGCAATGTGGCAGCGTGACAGCCGCCTGCAGCTGGAGCCTGGTCCTGCTCTCTGTGCAGTGCTAACGCATGGTACTGCACTACAGGCCACTGGACTCACTGCAGCCGCTGGAACTGGCCCGGCTCCCGGTCCACACCCACACCCTGCAGCCCCTGCCCCTCCGCATAGGAAGCCAGGGCCTTGCCACTGTGGCTGAGGAGCCAGGATGCCACCACCTCGGCCCTGAGCCTTACAGTAGGCGGCCTGGGGGAAAGTAGTTAGGGTACTGGGCACGCCCCGTGAGGGCCACAGCAGGGCCCTAGTCCCTCTTTCTCTGCTCTCCAGCCGCCACAGCCACGGAGCTCCCACCCTGTGACACGTGACCATGCGCTGAGCCTTGGGCGCTCCGGGCTGACAGCTGGCCTGGGCCACCCCACCAGTTAGCAGGTGGAAGCAGCATGGACAGCCAAGATGGCCCGCTGAGTGGGAGGAAAGGCCCATACAGGGGGTGCAGCGCACAAATCCAGCCACTGAGGACCAATGTTTTATTGATGCTGAAGGAGCTGAGCCTGTCTAGCTCAGGGGACCTGCTCAGGAACAGGACCGTGCCTGAGACCTTCCCCATGCCACCATGCACCAGCTGCAATGGTCCAAGTCTCAGTGAAGAGTCATGATGCAGGCAGAACACCCAAAGGCAACCATGGCAGACAGGCAGGGTGGTGCACACCTGTAGTCCCAACACTCTGGGAGGCTGAGGCAGGAAGATCTCAAGTTTGAGTCCAGCCTAGGCAATTTAGTGATCTGAGACCCTTATCTCAAATACAAAAAGGCCTGGGGATGTAGGTCAGGACATGGGCTCTGGGTTCAAATGCGCTGTCCCCGCAGGAGGCGGCTGGCAAGCGTGGCTGAGGGTGATGCAGTAGTGCCGCTGTCAGGGCCTGTGGAACTGGAGCAGCTGCTCCCATCCAAGTGGGCGGGAGGCCGGCAGTGGTCAGCAGGCACCTGAGACCCAGCCGGCTCGAGAGCAGCAGAGCGCGGGCAGCCTGTGAGCGAGCTGCCCTCCTGGCACCCACTGCCTCAGCAGCAGTGGCAGAAACTCCCGGAACCGTGGGGTCGGTGTCCACCTGCCGCCGCTCTGCCCCAGCCTCCCAGACTCACGAAGACACCCACAAAGAAGTGCATTAGTGTGTGAAAGGCATGGATGGATTTTATTTATTACCCTATATCTACAATTTAATTTGAGGTAAAATATAAGCAACACATAAAAATGCCTATTTCTGCTACCATGTAATATAATTCTCCATTGTGAATATCGTGATAAAGCTAATGAAACTCTATGCCATCACATACTCTAGCTTTGATAGCTTGGATTTACAACTCTTATTGTCTGTGAAGTCTCCACACAGGTAAGATTCTCCTACAAAGGCGTAGAATATCAAGGGTGCAGGACTAAGCTTACTGACCCCTCGTTCCCCACAATGGTGCCTCAGTGTTACAAGCAGAATTAGAAATTAACGATGGCAGGAATCCCTCGAACCCACGCCAAGCCAGAACAGCATTCGAGAAGCCGTGGACGCCAGGTCCCAGATGGTGGGCATCTGCGTCCTTGCTGGCCCAGATACTCACACCCGACCACCAACCTCTGGGCCACACCTTGCATTTTATTTGGATGAAAAGGACGAGTGGAAGAGGCTCCACCATTCCATCTTCCAGGGTCCACGCTGCGATACTGACCTCACGCTGTTAGGTGAATCCAGACGGTTTCTCTTTTCATTATGATAAAAAAACAGATGAACCATGATAGATAGCTTAGGAAAAGTTTAGTCAAATATACAGATACTAATTGTTCGCTCAGTCATTAAGGAGAGCTGTGAACAAAGGATCATTTAAATGATTTTTCAAATAGAAAAACTAAAGAACTGACTGTCACAGGAATTTCCTTGGCTGCAGAAGCTGAGATGTTCCAGTAGGAGAGATCTTCACTCGATTGGAAAATACACACCATAGCTGAAGGTTCTGCCGGATACGTAAAAAATCTGATGAGATTCATCCCTGTCATTTTCCCTGTCGTTTTTTCCAGCATTGCTGTAAAATCCTTATAATACATTCCAAAGTAAACCAGCCATTCCGAATCTACAGTCACTCTGCTCTTTAATTCAATTCACAGAACTGCTGAAAAAGTAGACATTTCTATCTAAAAGTAGAAAAAAAGGTTTGTATAGAAGGTATTTCTGTTATACAAGTATATTACACAGCTTGGGGCAGTAACAGGTCCGAAAAGCTCTTCTCAACCACTGATACTTTAAGCTAAAACAGGAGAGAAAACAAACAAGCAAGTAAACAGGTTAATCTAATTAGAGAAATTCAACCTTCACACATATCACAACCTAAAACTGCAATTTTTGATAATGAATTATTTGGATCAAAAGTGATATGAATTGATATCGTAAAGCAAATTACAATAAAAGTCACTGGCTTAAAATAACCCCACAGTCATGGTGTATTTCAGAGCCCACTGATGGCCAGCGTGTTGCATAGCAACCCTGACAGCACTAACAGCTGAGGCTTGGGGAAAGCCACGAGGACACACGATCTAGGGTGCTGGCTCTGTCTAGGGAACACCATTAGCCTTCTTGCTTAGAAGCTAGCCAAGCTGGGCGTGGTGATGCACGCTTGTAGTCTCAGAACTTGGGAGGCTGAGGGCAGGAGGATCGCTGTGAGTTCAAGGCCAGCCTGGGCTACACAGTGAGTTCCAGGTCATCCTGAACTATGTAGGAAGACCCTATCACCAAAAACAAGAACACCAAAGAAGCTGGCCAGGTTGTGTCTGGAACAACAGAACCAGACTTGTGACTCAATATGCAAGATGGTCAATGGCCTGCAGCTCAGCCAGACTCTGCAGACCCTGTGCCACGAAGGGAGAAGTTGGGCAAATGGCACCATCTCAGGATTCCAGTGGGGAGGGTGAAGTTTTAGCCTACAAATGCGAATGCCTTCCTTTTAAGGCAGAGGCGCATTTTGTAACTCTGACCTAGAGACTGTGCTGATTTAAGGAGAACCTCTGCTTGAAGGGGGGGGGCCCATGTAGAGCTGAGGCAGGCAAAGGGCACAGCGGATGAGCATGCAGGGGTTCAGGTGCGAGACGGGAAGGTGGGACACAAGGCTCTTTACCCTAGGTGGGAGAGGTCTACCACGTGGGGTCTGGCTCTTGCTTGATCTGAGAGCTTCCATCGGTCTCTTTAATTTCTATCAGGAGAAACAAAAGGGGAGCAATTAATTGCACTGTGTTCGCATACCTACGAAGTCCATCCGCACCTAAGAGACAGAACTAAGTCCCCAGCCCGGCAGTGAGAAAACACAGCACCCTGCTACTTCTAAGCACCTAGTGACAGACAGCAGTCATTCAAGTGCTTTTGAATTCATCAAGAGCTAAGTGAGGAGAATGGAGAAAAGCAGCCATCATCGGCTCTGGGCGGGGTGTACCGCACGGACCACAGGTGCACACTCAAACAAAACACACCCTGTCTATTTAAGTCTTCAGCAACTTCACTTCTCAGCCAGACTACTTACCTTCTGTTGGTGGAACTTCCAAATGGCTTGGCTCTGCTGATTCTAAAGAGAAGCACAAGAAGACTTACTCAGCAGTGTTATTTACACAACTCAGAGGAGAAAGCCCAGCTTTGTACACAAAGCCAAACCAAGATGAAAGAACAGCCAAAGACGCTCACTCACAATTACCCAGTGACATTTTCTTTTTTTGAGACAGGGTCTCATTTATGTAATGAGACTGACCTGGAGCTCATTGTGCAGCCCAGGCTGGTCTCGAACTCACAGTGATCCTCCTGCCTCAGCCTCCCGACTGTTGGGATTACAGGCGTGTGCCACCAGGCCCGGCTGCAGTGACATTTTCAAAGTCCTGCCTTCCCCTGATGTCAGTAAGTGAGCGGCTGAAGTCTTAAAGAAAGTCCTTTTCTTTTCCGAGGCCTCACACCCACTAGGGGAGGGCTCTGCCACTGAGTGCCGCCCCCCATCCCCAAATAATGACCCAACAGAGCTGTACAGGAAAGCAAGAAGTTCCTGTGTCTCCTTCTCCCCATCCTCCTGTGGCCCCCTTTTGTAAAAGCCTTTATTACTTCCGCTGAACAGCAGGCCATTCATCCTGCTCATAAGGAATTTAAAAAAACCACAATGCACATCTGTCTGCCTGGTGCAACCTGGCTCACTAACTTAGAGCCACCACCAGCCAGGTGGGTGTGCGCATGCCAGGAGCTGGTAAGGGAGGGCATTCCCACCCTGACACTTCACTGCCCCGCACTGGATACCAGGTTCCCGCACGGTGCTGTTAGGACGTAGCTCAAGGTTACGGATGCTTTACAGGCTCTCACTTGCAGGTGTCAAGGGAACCCAGCCCGCACGCACGGACACCGCGGGCACTGTGGGCCCGTGGTTACCACGCAGATGCGGCTCTTTCAGTTTCCTTCCGTGTTGCTTACCTTGGATCACTGGGCCTTCTGATTCGCTCTGATCAACCAACTCTGAAAATAAAGTACAGAGTTTAGATAACTCAAGATGCTACTCCACTTAGATTCTCCCAGACCCAGCTCGGCCACCACACTTCACTGTTTTGCTTGTCATGAGAACATACAAAACTTCAGGGTTCTGGCGCACCCCATACCTCATCACTAACTTCACAGTAATTACCGTGAAACTCTACCAGAGAGTACCATACAAAGATGAGGACAAAATCAACACTGTAAAATCAAACTCAATGTTATCTGGAAATTAGTAAACATTTTAGCCTTTACAGATCAGAGTCTCTGCTGTAACTTCCTGATTCCAGCACAAAACAAATAGACGTGGTGGTGTTCCAATAAAACTTTATTCGCAAACACCGGCAAAGATCCTCTAACCTGTATTAGAATATTTACATGACTCATTTAAAATGTTACTACCACTTTTTGAGAGCAAACAGGGTAAGAAAAGTTAAGAATCATAACTGAGTTTTCAATTAGGAAGCGCCTAAGACAGTTCCACTGCATGCTTACTAACATGTTACTAACATGTTACACTGGGAGAGCTGCCCCGTCTGTACACCCCCAACCCCATCTACCCATACCCTAAGATCACAGGAAAAAACAAGACAAAAATGGTGTTCCTGAAATACTCACGGTTATTAATCACAAGTCCTGGAAATGGTCTAAGGAGAGAAACAGATGATTACCAGTTTATTTTATTTTTTTATTTTTGGGGGGGTTACTGGGGATCAAACTCGGGTCTTTGCATTTGCGAGGCAGGTGGCAGCACCACTAAGCTAAATCCCCAGCCCACCAGTTTATTTTTAATCTTAAAGAATATTGCTCATTCAACTAATGTTTAACCCAGGCTACTTATGCATTATATGGGGCTTTAGGGAAAAGGAATTAGGAGAAAATGAGCAGACCAGGAAAGGCCTCAAGAAAGTAAAACATGTAGAGAGTAGGTATCAGAGAGGGCTTTGCCCTCTGACACAGAAGCTGCCAGGGACCTAACTGTGGGTACAGGAGATGGAAGAGTCTGAGGACAGCTGGGACTTGGCCAGGGCAGATGTCACTCACTGACGAGTAAGCACTTATTAACGAGTGCAGTTTCTCCTGACATGGGCAGGGGGCAGTGCGACCACGGCAGTCTCAAAGGACTCAGGGTCATCAGAGCCATGGCAAATGGCTGACTTGGGAGCAAATGCGGCCAACGTGAGGTCCACGGTGCTCTACCAGACAGAAGTTGGTGCGATTTTCCTGTAAAGTGCCAGTCAATATTCTAGGCTTGGTAAGCACTACTATTTCTGTCCAAACTTCTGAAATCATCCACTCTCACAAGAAGGCAGACTCAGATGATATGCAAAGTTGGATGTAACCATGTTTCACTAACTCTGTAAAATACAGGTGGCAGACAGGCCAGACGCAGGCTGCAGGCCATGATTTGCAACTCCTGGCCTTACAAGCAAGGAAATTAAACAGCTCAGGGCCCGGGCTGCCCTGGTAAAGCACAATGTGAGGCCCTGGGTTTCATCCTTAGCGCCACAGGGAAAAAAAAATCACCTGGATCAGCAAAGTCTCATGGAACAGTGACTAGACCAGTTTCTCTGTCATTTCATTTCTCAGTAAATATGATTCTGAGACCTCACACAATTACACTGTCCAGAGCGACTTAACCTCGAGATCTTCAGACTTGTTCTTGTCGACTAAGCACACACTGCTCCCTTACCTGATGACTGTGAATTTGATAAACTCAGCAGAATCTAAGATCCTTCTCATGGAGCTTATTTCCAGGTAGCTGGGGGCTTTGAACGACACCCCAGGGGGCATGCCGTCCACCACCACACATCCAGGGTTGATCGTGATTTTCCTGTACGGGACTTTCACTGGGAAACCCATGCCAATAGCTTCACCTGTAGAGACAAGAGCACAGCACCACAGAGGAAGTACCCTGTCACCTCAAAAAGCTCTCAAAGGTTTCTGCACACATCAAACTCAAACAGGAACTTCAGTGTTAATGTTTATACTGACCATCAACAGAGTAACACATTTCATGTTTCCTTATTAAAGAAATGTAGCATAAATTGTTTTTTGTTTTTGTACCGGAGATCAAACTTACGACCTGTGGTCGTGAGGCAGGTGCCACTGAACTAAATCCTCAGCCCTTAGCATAAACTTTTTTTTTTTTGGTACCGAGGACTGAACTCAGGTCCTTGCGCTTGCGAGGCAGGTGGCAGCACTGCTGAGCTAAATCCCTGGCCCCAGCATAAATTTTTAATAGTTTCTTTTCAATATGAAGATTACAGTTACTCCACAATCTACTGAACAGATCTCATTAAAACCAAATCTTTCTTGTGGCAACTGAACTCTGCAAATGCAAAACTTACCAAACTTCCGACTGAAGAGGTCATTCACTTGTTCTCTTAGCTGCCTTGCTTTTTCAACTTTTGACAGTCTTTCATTATCATCATCTAAGAAGTGAAGAGAAAGCGCAAAACTTAATAATGCACTTTTATTTCCAAGTAAACTGTTGCAAGTTCTGTGTGATGTTTTCTGGAGTCCTGCAGAATTCTGAACTGCTCATCACATTGCTGCCAGCGTGAACCACCACTGGCACATGCATGGCTGATCCACCAGCATCTTGTACCACCATTGGTACACACAGATCTAATCACTTTTGTTGGTCTTTTTAACTAAAAAAATTTAAAAAAGAGACAGTGATGCATGTACCAAGGGTGGTTCAAGCTTCCTGGCAGTGAGAACATACAGGTTACCATGCCGCCAGGAACACATTACAGTGATATCGCTACCTGAAAATGCCAACCTATTCCTATTATAAAGACCTCCCTCCTGCTGTTCACTCAGGCTTTCTGAAGGACAGCTAGGCAGAGGCACTGAGCAGAACCCAACTCATGCCAAGGGCAGCTTCTGGCCAGCCAGTGTTGCAGGGGCCTGGAGGTGCTCAACAAGATGTGCCAGGCCAGAGCAAGGCCAGAACCAGACCAGTGACTGGTGCTGGCAAAGTTCCCAGGAGCTGAAAGAATGTCTCAATCTCGGATGGAGTCAAGGAAGCCATACCTGGAATTGTTACTTGAATGATGTTAAGATCTTCAACACCTGATGCAGTAGTATTAACGCTGGGTGACGAATTTATTTTTCCTTAAACAGAAACGGACAATTAGCATTTATGAGAGACACACAGTCAGAGACTTCTCTAATAAAAACTGGAGGTGATGCGCTTGCAATCCAGGCTGCGAGGCAGCCTTTCAGGACTGAGTGCTGCACACATGCAGCTGACCACCAGGGCACAGGCCTTCTCGTAGGCTCTAGCATAGAAGCGCAGCCTTCCTCTCCTGGGCAAAGTCGCCCTCGTTAACCAAGCTGCAGGAGCTGCCTGCAGTGGTGAGGGGACACCGCCCAGCCTAGCGGATCAGCCAACCTGATCTGGCCATCAGTGTGGTGACAGCTGTCACAGCCACACTGTCCCCATATCCAACTATGCAAGAACTAAAGCTGTAAAGAGACCAAAACCCAGCTGGAGTGAGTCTCCCCCACAGCCCAGGACACTCACTGGGAGGGCTCTTGGAAGAGGTGCTCTCCTTGATTGCAGTCTCAAACATTTCGGGCCTATAAACAACAACAGAAAACACATACCAGTCGGTAGGAAGTCTTGCTATTGAAAGTTAAACCATCAAGATTTAAAAGCTGGAGGGCCGGGCACTGAGCTCAGTGGTGTGATGCCTGCCTTGCAAGCCCAAGGTCTTGAGTTCGATCCCCAGTACCAAACAAACAAGATTTAAAAATTGTATCTTGAGGCTGGGGGAGCAGCTCTGGGGTACAGTGCTTGTCTAGAACACATGGGGCCCTACGTTCCACCCCCAGTATCCCCAAAACATAAAAATAAGACAACCAACAGTCCCCCCACTCTCAAGAGTACACACCAATTCTTAGCGATGGAGAAACAGAAGAAACGTGGATATACAAAGAACACATCCACAAGGCCAGTACTGAGGCCGCGTCACCCGCCCTGCCTCACCTGAGCCTCCCCCTCGCTATACTACTTTCCCTGCCTGTGGCGAGAACAGGTCCTGAAGACTGGGAGCCTGGCTTGAGAATGGAGCCAGGAAACAGCCCTGTACATAGCCCCCGCCGAGAGGCAGGCCTAGGGCACCCGCAGCGGGGACGCCTTGGGAAGCAGAGACCTGCGCTAGCAGCAAACCTCTCCAGACACAGCTTCAAGGGCAATGGTGGACACGACGTCAGACAATGTCAGCTTTCCTTGTGTGACAGAAGCCTGGGACAACTTACACCCAGCAAATGAAGCCTGAAATTCATCTCAATTAATTTCCTATAACTGTTACCTATCAATATGTATCAGTAACGCCAATAATTCCCACCAAGTCCAATAACCAGCCTAATTAATTCACAGATGTTCAGCCAAATCCAGGAAGCTGGAAAAAACAAAGGCCTTTAGGAAATGTGGTCACTGCTAAGACTCCAGCAGCAACCGGGGGGGGGGAGAGTGTGTGTAGATTCTGCAACATGAAGCTGCCATCTCGCTGATGTCTCAGAGCCAGCCTCTTTCACTTCTCACTGACTCACTAAGCTTGCAGGACGTGGATGACGCACACCTGTAATTCGAGCTATTCAGGAAGCTGAAACAGGAGGACTGTGAATCCCATGTGGCTGGGCTCTTAAGACTCGCTTAAAAAATAATAAAGGCTGCGGGGTACAGCTCAGTGGCAGAGCTCTTGCTGTCACATCTGAGGCCCTGGGTTCCATCCCATTACTGAAACAACCCAAACCATCGGGGCGCGGTGGCTGTGGTCTTCAAGAGCTACGTGACCCACGTGTAGCGCCCCCACCCCAACAGTCTCCACTCAGGACCACTCCCACTGTGTCCACTGTCCTCACTTCTTAATGATGAACTTAATTTTAGCCTTGTTCCGGAGGATCTTCTCCAGCCTCGGAATGCCGAAAGTGGAGGGTCTGCGGAAGGGCACCCCCTCGGGCAGGCCTTCCACATAGAAGTCTTCTGGGAAAGACTCGAACAGCGCAAACGGCACCTTCACAGCTTGCTTAAGGCCGAGAGCTTCCCCTGTAACACACACACACTGCATCTATTTCTGCCACTGCAACTGAAAGAACTGCAGTTTTAAAAATGTATTTGAAATCATTCCCCAGCTACTAAAGGCATATTCATATTTCAGAATTGTATTCATTTTAATTTTAGATAATGCCCTTCCATTTCTTGGCGCCTAGGAAAACATGAGAAATTGAAGCCTGAAACCCCGTTTCCGATGACAATAACATTTATATGTCAACTATTTTACTGTTCCCTTTCTTTTACGTACAAAGAGTTACCTTATTATTGCAATAACATTTCAAATAAACCTACCACATTTTTCATTGAAAAGATTTTCAACTTTCTGCTTCAGGTCTGTGATTTTGGCATTCCAGGCCTCTGCATATAAAAAATAGAACAGCTAAAACTGTAAAATCAGTATATGCTCACAGGCAGGAATTTTTTGTCTTTTATTGAGCAACTTTAACAAGCACAAAATAAAAATGTATACACTTTCAGTGGGGTCATGGGTGGGCAACTACGCTGACCCTGGTGCACAATCAAACTGATTATTTTACTGATATAGCACACTGGCTACAAATAAATGACACACAATGAACTGAACATTTCCCAGGGTAGCGTCTGTTATGCGCCAGGTACGGCTATAAGTACATGAAAGAACTAATATAAACCCCGATGTAGAAAGTAACACTGTCCCCAACTGGCACATGGTACACAAGAAATGCTAGCAAAGAAAGCTTGCCCACTAATGTTTTTAGAGTATTTAAGTGTTTGAACCATTCAAGTTTGAAATGGTTTAAAATTACATCAGCAAGTAGAAATGCTACAACCTTATTCTTACTATGCAGACCCAAAACTCCAGTTTTGTGCAGATTTCTTTTCCTTTTCTTTTTTTTAGTACTGGGGATCAAATTCAGGACCTTGCACTTGCGAGGCGGCACCATGGAGCTAAATCCCAGGCCCTGGTGCAGATCTTTTAAAGGATGGATTAGACGGGTGATGGACAGGGCTGTGCACTCAGGCCCCAGCCACAGAGTGACAGTGTGTCAGTCAGTCTGCTCTGTTGTCTGTCCCTCCAAGCTCTGACGAACAACAACTTACTAAACTGAAATTATTCACCTGGTAAAAAAGCGTGAATTCTTTTTTTTCCAAAATTCTGAAATTAAGAAATCTAAAAGAGGTACTTACCGAAGGAAAACTCTCTCCCTCGAGGCTTGAAGGGAACATTAGAACCATTAGTTTGTGTAGGAGTTCGGACAGTGGAGGCTTGAGGATTGTTGTTATTAGGGCCTACGAAAAATAGAAAGAGAACGTGTAAACTGTACACTCAGTGCGGGTCAAGTACTGTCTCTGCTTTCTCTAGAATACACACTGGTGAGCCCAGCATGTGCCAAAACACAAGTCAGCTCTCATGCAAACAAGCTCTTCCTGCTGGTGCTGCTGCAGACCTCCGTCCACTCTTCAATTTCCCCTCCTGCACCCTGCCCCTTTCCCCAGAAGACAATCGGTGACCTGACTGAGCCGAGACACCGGACCTTCACTGTGAAGCTGTTGTATATTTTGGTCACCAATGTTTGCTGTCTTCCTTCCCTGAACATAAGCACAACTTTGGGTACCACTATCCCTGATATGAAACTTCCCTTTTGACAGTCTAGCAGCTTTGACAACTTCTTTTCTTTGAATTTTTACAATTTAGAAGTAATGTTAGAGATTACCAGTTGTTTCCTATTAAATGAAAATGAGCGTTAGTTCCTTTTATTCACAGAAAATCCAGACCTTGAATTTTTACAGGTGAGGACATCTAATACTTAAGACAGCATTTCACTTAAGTCTAGAGAAAGCTTTTTTTTTTTTTTTTTTGTACTGGGGATTGAACTCAGGACCTTGTGCAGGTGTGGAGCCACTTAGCTAAATTTTCGGCCCCAAGAAAGCTTTAATTGACTGACTGATGGAAGACAGGATTTTGCTATGCAGTACGGGCTGGCTTGAACTCATTATGTAGCCAAGGCTGGCCTCAAGGCGATCCTCCTGCCTCAGCCCCCAGTGCTGAGATGACAGGTGTGTGCCACCACGCCCAGCAAGCTATTTGTAAAATATATAAGCAAAAATAGGTGGACATGCCTGCAGCCTCAGCTACTGGGGAGGCTGAACTTCTTGAGCCCCAGAGTTTGAGGCCAGTCTGGTAAATGTAATGATACTTCATCTATTAAAGAAAAGGGCCAAGATAATAGAAAAATGAACACTAAATTTCACCTTAACTCTCTGGTGTATAGCCAACCTTCTCAGGATAGGTCCTAAAATCTTAAATTGCACAACTTACAGGAATGTTTACATATAGACTCCTGGGCTTTCAATTACTTCCTCCGAGCTATGCCCATGTTTGCAAAACAGTTTTTGCTCAATGATTGATTTCTGCAGAAATGCTATTAATAGATAGCCACACATAATGGCCACCGTCCCAAGCACGTTCTGGGTAATAAAGAAATATTCCCCTCCCACTGTACCCACAGAGAAGAGCAGCACAGGGCTATGTAATGTGTGGCTGATTACCCAGCCAGTCAGTGGTGGATTTGGGATACCAACCTTCCAAGCAGGGCTTCTCAGGACACTCAGTAATATGCTTTCACAGACCTGAGCAAGGGTTGGCAAATACTCAGCGCACTACTTCCTGTAAAACGTCCAGATCAACTTTCTAATTTCTGATTCACCTAACGCTCCTGAATAAAAACCACAGCTTCCTCACCCAGTGCAGTAATGACAGCAAGTGCCCTGGGCCAGCGGCTCAAGCGGCTTTACGACATGACACTAAAGCCACCCAGCCGACAAGCCCTGCTCGCACCCAGGCTCATGAAGCAACCTCTTGGTAACGAGTGGGCAAGACAGGGAGGAGGGATGACCAGGCAACACCACCGGCCTGGCTATACAATGAGATGGTCACCAGCACTTGGGTTCACACTGTGCGAGGCAGAACCACGTACCCACGAGGCTGGCCAAGCTGCCAAGAACACCGGCACCACCCACTGCGGGGTGCACAGCAACGGAGCCCTCAGACTTTCCCATCGGCAGTGTAAAATGGTACAGGCACTTGGGAGTTTTGCTGGGCGGCTTCTGAGAAAGCTGAAAGCCAGCATTGTACTACTCCTTGCCCATCTGTCAGAGAATGTGCACTCTGTGCCCAAAGACTCCGAGCATCTTCATCAGACACAGCACAGCAACAGGCAGAAACCCATGGCACTGATGTTAGTAAGTAAACATGTTAAGTATAGCAAAACCTGGTGAATCCAATTCCAGAGACACTAAAATGCATAAGACATATCTACAAACATGTTACAGGAAAGCAGCTCACTTTACACCATGACTCCGATTCCATGGAGAAACGGTTTCACTGCAGCAGAGGGAAAGCTGCAAAACTTACACATGAATTTCATACTAAATTATTCATTAATACCATCCATTAAAAGTAAGAACCAAGCCAGACACAGCAGCACACACTGTAGTCCTAGCTACCCCAGAGGATGAGGCAGGAGGATCATTAGATTACAAGAGTTTGTTTCTGCTTTTTTTGTGGTACTGGGGATCAAACTGAGGCCCTTGCGCTTGCAAGGGAGGTGGTGGAATCACTGAGCCAAATCCCCGGCCATAGATTACAAGAGTTTGAAACCAGCCTGGGTAATAGAGCAAGATCCTGCCTCAAATAAAATGTGAGAATAACCAAAAAGTTTTGAGTAATATGGAGAAGCACTGTGGTGACTATTACTTAAGACAACGATGATGATGAGGACAACACAGAGTAAAACTCATGTTGGTGGAGATGTGGAAAACTGCACTGCGGTGGGGATGTGAGGTGGGGTAGTTGCTGTGGAAAACAGCATTGTAATTCCTTGAAAAATTCAGCAAGCAATTACCAAAGGATCCAGTAAGTCTACTTGTGGTTACATGCCCCAAAGAACTGAAAGCAGGTTCTACATACTTTTACACCCATCACTAGCACAGTTTAAAACTTAGCAATGATTTGTTTCCGGAATCTTCCACTTACTCCTTTGGGGACGCAGCCAGCAAGGTTGCAAGCGAGCAAGACTTCTGCACAGGGACAGACTGCGAGGTAGGACTATGACACAGACACACGCACACATGGCCAGAACCAGTGAGGCTCAGACCACCCCACGGATGACTCCCACAACTGCCATCCCCTCAATGCTGCTCTCATGTCTCGGTTTTCTCGTCTGTGCAATGAGAGCGTGGGGCTGCGTGGCGTCCTTAGACGCCACAGAATACAGATCAACATTGAACGGTGCATCTTAAACAGCAGCTCAGTGAAGCCCCAGAGAGAGTGGCAGTGTCTGAGTGTCTGATGGGCCCCACAGGCCTCATGTGCAGCTTAGCTTAAGTCTCACATTTCTCTTTCCCTAGAGCCATTTTTTTTTTTTTTTTTTTTTGGTGGTACCAGGGATTGAACTCAGGATCTTAAGCTTGCGAGGCAGGCACAGTGCCACTGAGCTAAATCCCAGGCCCAGGGCCATACATTTTAATTTATAGCCTATTCTTTGTGCAAAATCTTGAAGTTATTCGCTATGTTTATTCATCACTGCAATCTTTTCATAGGTGGGAGAAACACATGGAGCACTGGTAACTCCACAGCACAGACGAGCACTCAAACACGGGCCAATGAGGAAAGCTGGAGCCAAGGGACTGTGCAGTGCCGACTCCATGAGTCATGTGACCTCCAGATACCAAACGTCCCACACGGCAAGCAAACTAGCAGTCACCAGGGCCACAGAGTGAGGTCCAAGTGACCGCTGCTGGGGAGGGGCTGAGCTTCTGGAACATTCTGGAAAATGTTCTGGAACTAGCAGTGATGATGATATATTATTCATACACTAAACACCCTGAGCTGAGTATTTCTAAATGGTGAATTATAAGGCATGAGTATCTTCATTTTTCAGAAGCCATGGGGCTAGGGATTTAGCTCAGTGGTTCTGCCGCATGCCTCGCAAGCGCAAGGTCCCAAGTTAGATCTGTGGTACCAAAAAAAAAAAAAAAAAAAAAAAAAAAAACCCCAAACAAACAAAAAAACTGTTCTCTGCCGGTTTGCATAACTGCAAACTAAACTAAAGAACGGAACATTTACATAATTTTCCTAGGTGGTGGAGCCCAGATTTGAATCTAACCACTTTAGTCTCAAAACCCATACTTCATAGGGCCAGGGATTTAGCTCAGTGGCACGGTACCCACCTCACAAGCACAAGGTCCTGAGTTTGATCCCAGTACCAAGAAAAAGAGAAAAAAGAAAAAAAAATCCATACTTTATTTCAATTTAAGTACTGGAAATCAAACTCAGGGCCTAGTGCTTGCTGAGCTATACCCCCACCTGACCCCAGCCCTTTTCTTTTTGTTTTTGTTTCTTCGAGACAGGGTCTCACTATGTAGTTGAGTCTGACCTGGAACTCACTATATAGCCCAGGCTGGTCTCGAACTCACAGCGATCCTCCTGCCTCAGCCTCCCGAGTGCTGGGATTACAAGTGTGTGCCACCACGCCCAGCTGCCCTTTTCTTTTTTTAACTAAGAGACTCAGGCAAAAATCTGCTCTGAGTTTCCACAGCAGCTTCCTGCACGTCCTGACAGAGCTTGGACAGGGCCAGCGCTGCACCCTGGCTCCCTGTGTCTCCTGCTTGGACATGGACACAAGGACAGCAGCTCCACTGTCATTATGTACCCCAGAGGGAAAGGCCAAGAGAATCACAGGGAAGCCCAACTCCCCATGTTGGAGCAACTGAACTGATGTGAGAAAAACAAGCATCTTCCTATCTGTGGAATCAGGGGTGACTGCCAGAGAAGACCACTCTAGCAAGACCTGGAAACCTTCCTTCTACCACCCGACTCACTGTAACTCATTACATTACTCTTTCCCTAGATTTAATGACCAACCAAGAATTGACATCAGCTTTGCTTTTCCAGGATCAATGGATAAAGTTTAAAAACACAAGAAGGGCATCTGGAAGTGTCCACACTGACTATAAAATAAATTGAGTGACTTCTGAGCAACAGCACCTGTAAAATGGCGTGTATACAAACCACCTGCTTCACCATTCTCCCAACTTTACATTTAATGTCACAGGTTAATTCTAGTTCATGACATAACACATGCAATACAACCTTACACCGGGCTGAGGAGGGACCAAGTGAACAGAAGTTGGAGTGGCCTTGCTGGCTTTGTCTGCAGTCTAGATGTTTGAGAAGGGGACCCTCAGTCCCTCCACCACCAGAGGGCTCAGCTCCCACCTTGTCTCCCACTTTTCTCGGAACAGACTGCTGGTGGCTGCCACCCTCAGTGCTTGGTAGAGCACAGCACCATGCTGCACAGGAACTTCCTGTCCAGCTGGTACCCAGCCCCATTACGGCTGCTGTGTCCCTGTGCCACCTGCCTCCCAAGTTTGTCCTTTACCCCACTTGCCACTGCAGCCTGGGGCTGTTACCCGCCAGGGGCTGACAGCACCAGCCCTAGAACCAGCTGGTGCCCCAAGTCCTGAGACAGCAGGCGCAGCTGGAACCAGGATGCACAGCCAGGCTCCAGGGCCAGTTGCTGCTGCAGAACTTGGGCACAGGCTCCACGCCAGCAGCGCACTCTGCTGCTCTCACTCCAGCACATGCTTCCTGCACCCCACCTGCTAACACCTCGCCTCACCCCCAAGGTCCAGTGCAAATGCTGATGGCACTCAGCTCCTCCTAAGAATAAGCCCTCCCTTCCTCCCCTTGTTATCGCCACCGTTCCCACTGCTCAAATCCTCACGGCCTCGGCCCAGCTTGCCTGGTTCCTGTTAGTCTTTCTACTAGAAGGAACCCTGAGGTACTACAATAGCCATGAGCAGCTTCAGGAAGCAGCAAGCCTCTACAGGAGAGGCTTCCTCTTCATGCCCCTTCCCAGAGGAGGAAGGAAAGTCAAGGAGTGAATGCATTTGTAATTCTTAGCATTTCTGAAAGGAAAGTGGAATTTGATGCATGGTATGCGCTAGTGAATGGCACAGAGAGCTCTGCCCTCAACAAGAGAGAACAGGTTCTCTGAGTGCACAAGACAGCTGCACGGGGACTACCGCTCTGTTTCTGTGAGTGCTGTGCCTCCTCGTATGAAGCTGGGGGCCCAGGATAAAAGCAGCCATCCTTCCACAACAGTTAAAAGACACAAGCAAATATCCATTGATGACCACTGGCTGAGAACCCTGCATGGCACTGGTGGCAAACCCAAGGCACACATGCATGTTACTGTGTGACACTGCAATAAGTGGGTTTTGGGCTGCAGTTTGGGCATTTGTTTGCCTTCACTGGTCTCTGGCAACGTTTGAGGTTCATTACTTCTGTGAGCCTGAAAAGACAGTGATTTGCAGACCCAGTCCAGTCTGAGGACCTAGTACAAGCTACTTCAAACCAAGCTATTCTCTAAACAACCCCTAAACATTCTTTTCTGAAAAAACAAACAAAAAAAAAACACAAAACCCACATTACCCTCTGCACCCTTAATAGCCGAGGATTTAGCTCAGCAGCACAGCACCTGCCTGGCAAATGTGAGGTCCTAAGTTCGATGCCTGGTACCAAAAGAGAAAAAAGAACAAACAATGGAGGGATTATCTTAAAAGATTGTGACATGATCTACGAACATCATCCTGGCCATTTTCAAGGTTTTTTTTTTTTTTTTGCGCTGGGGCTTGAACTCAGGACCTCATGCTTGCAAGGCAGGTGGCAGAACCACTGGGCTAAACCCCCAGCCCTTTAAGCTTTTAATTATAATACACATTTAAGAAGCTTATCACAGGTTGCTATTTATATATAAAACTAGTTTTGTAAAAGCTCATCTGCCTAACATTGCAACTAGTGAACTTGCATACACGAACTTCAGTGCAGTTAATGCAAGAGCAAGCAGGCTGAGCCTAGGGAGGGCCTTACCTTCCACAGTGACCTCGATTTCAGGGACCTTTGAGTTACTCCCAGGGCTTCGGGGCCTTTTGGGGGACTGCAGTGCTAGAAAGGAAGCCCATAATTACCTTTGTATACTGTTAAAAAAAAAACTACAGAAGGGGATGCTTTATAAAAGCAGAGTATTAAAATTCATACAGTTTGGCTCTTTTCAAAGAAACCTGAAGAATTAAACTGGTAGTGTAATCCTCCACATGAGTCTCAACAAAGCTGTGGAAACATGAAGGAGGATTGCAAATATGAAGTACTCAATGAAATGTTAAGAAAGAAAAAGAGAAGAGAAAGAAAAAGGCTCCATTAAATAAAATAGGTTAAACAGCACAGAAACAAACCAAAAGCCCCACAAAGATAATGAATGGCCAATGATTCCATATGATAATGTTGATAAGAGTGTTTTCATGTGCTGAAGCATAATAAAGATTTACATAATCTCTTACCTTTAGTGTTAATTTTACTAGCCATGCCAGGAGGCAAGTAGGAAACAACAAGCTCAGGTCTAGAGAGAAAAAACACAAACATTCAAATGGTCAGTATAAGGGTGCCCTACACAGCTAGTATAAACAATCAAAGCTTCTGAACTAGAAAATTAAACTCTAGTTCAGTTTTTGTTCTGCAGAGAGGTAAATAAGGCAATCACTGATATTCAATCATTCATAAGATGGACCAGGAACAAGAGAACAGATAAAAATCAGCATTTTATGCTGGGCGTGATAGCGCTGTGCACTCTGGGAGGCTGAGGCCACAAGATCGGAAATTCAAGCCAAGCCTGGGCAACTCAGGGAGAATCTGTCTCAAAAGTATAGGCAGCCAGGCATGGTGGCGCATGCCTATAATCCCAGCACTCAGGGAGGCTGAGGCAGGAGGATCGCTGTGAGTTTGAGACCAGCCTGGGCTACATAGTGAGTTCCAGGTCAGCCTCAACTACATAGTGAGAACCTGTCTCAAAAAAAACCCCAAAAAACAAACAAAAAAAAATGTATAGGCGAGGGAGGGTGCTTGTGCTGGGAATACAGCTCAGTGGGAAGGCATGGGCTCACTCCCCAGCAGAGGGTGAGAAGCCAGCATTGCAAACTGGCATTCAGGTCCCCAAACAGAACAGTGAGGCAGTTGTTACTTCTCTCCTTGCACTGATCAGGAAAATGAAGTGCAGAACTAAGGGTCTGTACTGGACAAGGCCAGACTCCAGCTCAGGGCTCGACTTTCCTGTCGAGGAGAGAGCCATCCCTCCCTCTCACTTGGGTAGACAAAAAATGTAAGTGAAAAAATCTAACTTTTTAAATTCTAGAAATGAAAAGAGTGCCCATCAGAACCTTTTGGGGGGCAGCAGTGGAGGCTGAACCCAGGGTCTAGGCAAGTGTTCTACCACCAAGCAGCACCATCAGCCTAAGGGCTTACTTTTTAACAACAAACTTGATTTTATTACTCCCACGAACAATCCTTTCTAGACGTGGAATTCCAAACCAGGTGGGGCTTCGAAAGGGAATTCCTTCTGGCAAGCCTTCAACATAGAGGAACTCTGGATTTGACTCAAACACAGGGTATGGTACTTTTACTGCTTCTGTGAGGCCAAGAGCTTGGGCTGAAAAAGAGAGAACACAACTTGTGAGAGATAAGATTTCACACTGTCTTTTGTATGTGTGCATTCTCAGATATGCAGTGGATGAGTTCCCTATGATCTACCCATAGCCACATAATACTGACGGCAACTTGCTTATTAGTACATTGTGCAAATCTGAATAAGCCTAAAAAAAAAAATCAGTACTTTCAGGAGGAACATTTGAATTAAATGACTTAAATTAAATCAAAAGGACAGTTATAAGTTACTATAGCCACGTCACACCACAGCCATCCACTTAGCCCCTTGGCTGGCATCTGGATGCAGGTCTGCTACTGTAAAAGTCCAGATGAATAAGCGGCGTCTAAGCAGAGAGCTCATTAAGTCAGAGACGAGAGGCAGCAGATGCAGGCTGCCTGATCAAGGAAAAAAAAGGACGCTGAAATAATGACGGACAGCATGCCCCATTCCACTTCCTCAGTCGGCAGACACCACTCCCTGAAACCCTGCTGCTCAGGCTGCTTAGGACAGTGCACCAGGTAACCAGGGTCCCAAACCGCAGCTGAGACTTAACAATGCAACCTGTGGGCCACGCTGCTCTTGGCCAGGTGAGAAGCACAAACAGTGGGCCTGAGATTTGTCACAAGAGAAACAAAGGAAATGGTTTAGTTTAAGCAGCAAGTTTAGTAGGAGAAATAAACTAAAAGCCACTTTCTGGGACCTTCCTGGTTCAGGTCCTGAACTGTAGAAGTCTGTTCAGAACACAGCCTTTACTTGTTTTTAAACTAAAACAACCATTGTATTTTACTTACCAAACTTCAAATTGAAAATCTCTTCCACTTGCTTCCGTAGCTTGGTAATTCTGACATTCCAGTCTTCTTTGACTGGAAAGCAGAAGTAAATCTAATGATGTCAAGTACTGGCACAGACACAAATCAGATTCCACTCAGGGACCAGAAGGTAGACACCCTTCTGTCTAGTCATGCTCTTAACTCATCTTGTTTAAAAACAAAAACTCTGAGTGTTAAGGAAAAGAATGATTTCCTGTACTTGTCAACTATCAGAAGAACTACAAGAATTCAAATTTAATTTCACATTGTAAATAAAGAAAAAAGTGTTCATATAAAAGAATGCTCACCGGGGATCTAGCTCAGTGGTTCCGCTGCCTGCCTTGCAAGTGCAAGGATCTAAGTTCGATCCCTGACACTAAAAAAAATTTTAAAACATATAAAAGAACACTCAAGGACCAAGGATTTAGCTCAGTGGTACCACATCTGCCTTGCAAGTGCCGGTCCTGAGTCTGATCCCCAGTACAGGGGTGTGGGGTGGAGGGGGAGAAATGCTCTAAACTAGTGCTGTTAGCTGGGCGAGGTGGCGCACTCCCGTAATCTCAGCACTCAGGAGGCTAAGGCAGGAGGGTCACTAGGAGTTCAAGGCCAGCCTAACTACAGTGAGACCCTGCCCCCGCAAAATGAACAGAGCCAGGGATGTATCTCAGCAACATGAGGTTCTGGTCCTGAGTTTGATCCCCAGTACTCAAAACAAACAAACAAACAAACAAAACAAAACAAAACAAAACAAACAGTGGTATTCTCACTCCCCCTGGAGGTCTATCACTACAAAAGCTCTCTGTAAGGCCCAGGGCTCCCACACCAGGACCCTGACAAGTTTTCCTTTCATTTAATTTCTACACAGGCCCTTAGTCTGTTCATCTATTCTATTTTCTTCCCATCTATCTATCATGTGCCCACAAATTCATACAAATCCAAACTTCAGTCAAGAGCTGGGGATTTAGCTCAGTGGCGCCATGCCTGCTTCACAAGCACAAGGTCCTGAGTTCAATCCCTGGTAGGCGGGGTGGAGACTTCAATCAAAGCAGGCTTTCCCACTAGAAGTACACTGTTGTGTATAAATCACGGTAACAGGCTGGAATGCCCAAATCTGGCTACTGCAGAGTCTAAAGCCACACAAAGTTTGCAATTGTGGCACACAAGGTTTTCCAGACAGCTCAGTCTTGATCTGGAGTTGGAACCCTCTATGATCTGTGGTCTGTTCACAGTGGTATGCAGCTGCTTCTACTGAGCTTCCATGAAAGGGTATTGGGGGGTGCGGGGTGTTGGAAGGAGGAGTTCTATAGCCATAAAAGAGTAAATTTTTAAGAAAGGAAAGAGGGCCAGGGATTTAGCTCAGTGGTTCTGCTGCCTGCCCCGCAAGAGCAAGGTCCCGAGTTCAATAAAACTCAATAAACTTTTTTTTTTGGTCCCAGTACCAAATATAAAGGGGGGCGGGATGAGATGTTTTGCCAGGTTTGTCTTACCTGGTGTGTTTGTCCTTGGCTGAGTGACTTCAGTTGTACTATGAGTCAGAAGCTCTGGTCTGGAACAGTAAAGCTGACATTAGCAACCGAGCATTTAGGAACAACCTTTCCCACATAGACACACAGTGCTAATATTCCTAAATGGCCTTCTTCTACAGCAAAAATAAAACTGTTTTGGTGACTCTTATCGGGAAAATAGCAGTTTTCACACATTCAGGTGGGGCGACATGGATGTTTTCAAAGGCATTTTATGCTTGTGTGTGCGAAAGTCACCTTTTCCTCCAAACCAACTCAATTTAATTCTTTTTTTTTTCTTTTTTTTTTTGTATCAGAGATCAAACTCAGGTCCTTGTGCTTGCAAGGCAGGCGGTGGAACCACTGAGCTAAATCCCTGGCCAACTCAATTTAATTCTTAAAAAAAAAATTTTTAAATTAAAAAAAAAATTTAAGGCAAGGCCTCACTATGTGGACCGGGCCAGTCTTAAACTTGCTGTGTAACCCAGGATGACCTCAAACTCGTGACCCTTTTATGTTAGCCTCCCGTGTGTGCTGGGATTACAGGTGTGTGCTACCATGGTTGGCCCAATTTCTAAATCTCAACACAAAACATCTAGAAATAAAAACAGCTGGCTAAGTCATTTTAAACACTTCTCCCTTACCACACTCAGCGCCCAGCCAACATACAAAAGCACAGCACTGGGGCAAGTGAACACTCCTCCTGGAGTAGAGGGAAGCCTCAAACAGTTCCCCACACCAGGCCTCTGAATCAAACCAGAACCCCCCTCCTGTCCCAGGGTCTGCTTCCAGGCCCGACTGCAAGCTACTGCTTTTGCCAGTACCACTGCCTGGCACCCAAGTCTGTGTCCTGAATTCAGCCAGGCCACACCCTACAGCATCCTGCATCCCACATCCACAGCAAATGGTTCAGTGAGGTGAGGGCACAGGCACAGCTGGCTCCTCTGGCTGTACCCACACAATCCCTCATACAGGCAACCTGTCCTCTGCGCTCTGTGTGCACGGCTGCCCAGCCTGGACATGGAGACTTTATCATCTCCCGAAACTAGATAGCACTGCGCTGCACTGCACTCAGGATGAAGCCTCTCCAAGACAGGGCTCCAACAGGCTAAGTACTGTGTATGTGATGCTTGCCCCGAGTAAACATTTGTGTGGTACCAATCTCTAAATGCACTGCTGGGGCTGGGGATTTGGCTCAGTGGTTCTGCTGTCTGCCTCACAAGTACAAGGTCCTGAGTTTGATCCCTGGTACCACATAAATGCACCGCTGGGACTTAAAATGCAGAGAAGTCCTGTGAAGAGGGATCAAAAGACCTTTCACCAAACCAATCTTTTCCAAGGAAATATGCTGTATTTGTTTCTACAGGCGAACATCTTACCTTTTAATAACAAATTTAATTCGATTGCCCACTTGAATGATTTTTTCCAGCCGTGGGATTCCATACCAGGAGGGACTTCGGAAAGGAATGTTTTCTGGTAATCCTTCCACATAAAGATCATTGGGATGCGCCTCAAATTTTTGGTATGGTACAGCCTTGGCTTCTGCGCTTCCCAAGGCCTCAGCTGAAGATGAAAGCAATTCAGGAGGCTCAGTGCATACTGAAATCATATTTTAGTACAGTCCAGAGCAAGGTACAGAGCAATTTTTTTAAAAAATTGGAAACATGCCGCACGTGGTGGCGCATGCCTGTAATCCCAGCACTCAGGAGGCTGAGACAGGAGGATCGCTGTGAGTTCGAGACCAACCTGGGCTACACAGTGAGTTCCAGGTCAGTCTGAACTACATAGTGAGACCCTGTCTCCAAAAAAAAAAAAAAAAACAAAAAAAAAAAAAAAAACAAAAAAAAAAAAAAAAACAAAAAAAAAAAAAAAAACAAAAAAAAAAAAAAAAACAAAAAAAAAAAAAAAAACAAAAAAAAAAAAAAAAAAAAAAAAAAAAAAAAAAAAAAAAAAAAAAAAAATTGGAAACACATTTACTAATTATTGAAATAGAATTAATCTAAAAAGATTTAAGTTTTTTTCAATATTCGTTAGAAAGGAGGAAAGGAAAGCTGGGTGAGGAGCGGACAACTACAGATCCCCAGAGGATCATCTGTGCCTAGAATTGATGAGGCCAGACTGGGCAACATGGTGCAACCACATCTCAGTAAAAAAGAACAGGAGAAAGTCATGATGGGTAGTGTAACGTAAGCCCGTTTCAAGTGCCTGCAAGCAGACTGTTCAGCAGCACTGTCTGACAATGCATCGATCCTCTTCTACAGCTGCTCAACAGGAACAATCATCAGGCTCTGCCCTCAAATGTCCTGCCAATTTTTCTAGGGTTCTGGGGATCGACTGGGGCCTCGCACGTGCTGGACACGTTCTGCCAAGAGCTACACTCCCAGCCCACAATTCCTAAATTCTATCTTCCTAGACACGATTAAGCCAAAATGGGCCATTTTTTTCGTGGAGTAAGCTAACACCTCCTTTCCCTTGGCCGAAAGTCATCTTGCTCTCCAAGCACCAAGAACACTATTAGGTGCAGCTGCGTCCTTCACAGTGCTCATTTCCAAAGCTAAAACATGAAGGCAGTTGATAGATGCTCACATAGCTACTCTTTATCACCTGTCACCCACTCATAAACTGTAATGATGTCACTGTGATAGGGACAGTGAGTTCCCAGGGGATTTAACAGCTTAATTATTTTATTTGTTTGTTTTTTGGTACTGGGGGATCAAACTTGGGACCTTATGCTTGTGAGGCAGGGTGCGGAACCACTGAGCTAAATCCTCAGTCCAAGTTTAATTATTTTAAAAGCATAATTAGTAAGAAAAGTAAGAACATGGATTCTACAGACAACAGCAGTTAAGGTCTGAATCTATAGTGTGTGAGCTGTACTGAAAATTGGTCCTGAAGACTTGGCACTCTGTGGCTTTCTTGAACACAAGAGACAGCACAAGAGACCTGGTTTTCATGTAGGAAACTAGAACCATGGTTCTGTGGTCCCCATGGAGGTCTGTTCCACATCCCCACCCTCCATTGCAGCTTCCCTTGGCAGGACAGCTCAAGGCTCTTCTAATTTTTTTGGTACCAGGGATTGAACTCTGGACCTTATGCTTGCAGGCAGGAAGCAGCACCACTGAGCTAAATCCCCGGCCCTAGCCCAAGGCACTTCTGTGTTCTTTCCGAGTTCTAATTAATGAAGGTCAACACATGTTATGTAATCAAATGCTCAGTTTTCTGCTGGTGTGAAAAACATCTTCAGGAAATGGATTCCCTACAATAAATATGTATGGAGCACCACCTTATGCCCACACAGAGGGGCAGCAGTTAACCAGACATACTACGCCATTGTGGGAGGAAAGATCTGGTGTTAGTCCACAGGCTACTATTGGATGGACGCTTGGGGAGAACTTCTTTGACGTGGTAACATTTATACAGGGAGGTGGCAGAAGCATATCACAAATACCATCACAATGCTACAGTCCCAGCAAGGGTACAACCTCAGAGCAATAAAGGCACTGGCACAGGCTGAGCACAAGGAGAAAGGAAATATTAAAAGAAAGGCAGGGCCGCCTGCACATCTATGTCGCTGAGGGCCAGACAAGGGACAGTGGAGTTTACTCCAAGGACAGTGGGACCCATTAAACACACTGAGACAGGCCAGAACTAGTTCCATTCTACTTCTAATAGCAGCCATGTGGCTGCACTGTGGCCCTTGCTTGGACCGCAGTCACACCACTGAAGAAAGGGCTGGAGGTGAGGTACGTAGTAAGTGTGCAGTCAGCAAGCCTTGTAAGACCGGATGTGAGAACAGTGGAAAACCACTGGGTAGGTCATGGGTCGCTCAGGAGACTGGGAGAGGAACATTTTAGAGAGGGAAATCAAGAACGCCTAAGAAGCTATCAGATGGGGGGCAAACATAAAGGTCTGGTAGTAAAAGGAGTTTTCTGAGCCAGGAATTTAAAGACTGATGCCACCACAGGCAATGTATTACTGTGTAAACCGGATGGAATGAGACCACACAGGAAGAAAGACAAAGAGGGCTCAGAGCTAAGCTCCATGCAAGTGCAAATAGTGAACTAAGAAGTGACAACAAATAGACTCAAAATGAGACAGTAACAAGCCAGAAAAGCCAAGGGACAACAAAGCTGGAAAACTTGCCGACAGTAGAAGAGAGTTTTGTAATTATAAACTAAACCGATGTATTTTAAGTGTTTTAGAAGAAGTTAAGCAGCACAATAGGCTGAGGGTGTAGCTCAGTTGTAGAGCAAGTGTCTGGCACGCAGGAAGCCCTGGGACTGACAGGGCAGTACTCAGGGGGATGGGTCAGATATTGAGTCCTTGGCACCTACTGCAATGGCCAGCAGATGTGTGTGTGAGGCGCTACTGACGCCCCTTTTCTTCCAGGGCAGCAGCTACAGAAGTGAAAAGGCCTGAAGACAACAGGATTCACAACTGTGTAACTGACAATGTACAGAAGTCAGGGCTGGCGGTGCAGCTCAGTGGCAGAGGCCTACCCTAGCATACACAAGGCCTGGGCTGCAGATCCAGCACTGCCAAAGAAATCAACAGAACAACTCAGTAAAAGGCTCTTAGAGTTTCATTATTCTCTCCCTGGCAACATAGGATTAATCTCTGTAAATAAATTCTTACTAAAAAGCAGTAAGAAAAACCTGGACATGAACCATATTCACCTTATTGATTTTCCACAAGGGAAACAATTTTTTTTCTTAATATCACATTTTTTTCTGAAATATAGTTTAGTTACAGGGAAAAGTAGACTTACCAAATTTTTTGCAGAAAAGCTGATCTACCATCTTTCGTAATTTAGTGATTCTGGCATACCACTCTTCCTTTACTATAATAATAAATATAAATAAATGTACAAATTTTTCTATTTGATGGCTTTAAGCAACTAGATTATTAACTATTATAAAAAGAATTACAAAGAAATACTATTTTTCCTTTTTGTAGCTAAAGTATTAAGATTTCACGTTTTTATTAAAATAAATATGACACTGCACAAAAAGAACAAACGTAATTGAAGGCAGTTCAGAGCTCAGTTTGCTGAAGAATAGACAATTTTTGCAATGAAAATTTAGGGCTATGACAGTGTTGATAATATTTCCATGATACAAAATACTAAGTGTAACTTCCTTTTTATGTCCCCTCCCCATTCCACTCCAGAGCAAACACTAACAAGAAAATGAATTAATTTGTATTTCCTTCAAAAACATCTAACAAGCAAATGGCCTCATGTTCTATAAATTAAATCTCTGTGTGTCCTACAATCACATATATACATAAAACACATCTGGTGAATGATTATCCAATTGATTAATGCAGATTCAGATAATGAACTATTTAATATACTATGCCAAGTAAAAGTTTTGTATCTTGAAAGTAGAACATAGTTCTTTTAGTTCCATTTAGAAATGCGATGTTTACATTTACTTAAAATGAGTTACTAAAAAGAAAACGAGCTTTTGTAGATCAGTAAGTAGAAGTCTGCATGGCATGTAATTAGCAAAGACATATTATTTCATGTAGAAGGTCTCTGTAAACAGAAAAGGTTGGGTTTGACCCAAGACTGAAGACCCACCTCCTGAAGCTGGTTTGTCAAGCTGTAAATCTTCACGTGTTGAGTTTAGAAGTTCATGTCTGAAAAGTGATAGTAAATGCTAAATATTCACAAGGCAATTCTTAATGACGTAGTAACCTCTAGTATCTATTTAATATTCAGTTACCAAGATAGGTATTAAGAAAAGACAGTCTGGACTCTTGAGCACAATTAACATGTTCATGAAAGGATTTTAATTTGTATGTCTTGCTACCAAATGGCTTGAACTACCCATCAGGTGGCTTTTTATTAATTTTACTAGTAAAAAGACTGATTAAAAGTGATTAGATCTATTTGTCCCACCAGCAGTACAAGGCTCCCAATGGGACAGTCAGCATGCACCACCAGTGGTTCAAGCCAGCAGGAATATGTTAACCTTAATTTTGTCTGGTTTCCACAGAGTAAGAAAACAATGACAACTGAAATTGCCATATTAAGTTGTGTCACAAACCATGTGTCTTCAAGCAAAAGCAGTAATTTTGCAAACCAAAGGTTTTTTTTTTTTTGGTACGGGGGATTGAAATCGGGTCCTTGTGCTTGCAAGGCAGGCCACTAAACCGCTGAGCTAAATCCCCGGCCCTAAACCAAAGGTATTTTAAATGTGTTAGTTTTAATGAAGGCCCTTCAATTGTATGTTTACATTCAAGACTACCACCCTCTACACATCTTTAAACGCAAAGAATTCTAACTATATGTGTGTGTGTGTGTGTGTGTGTGTGTGT